CCAGCAAAATCCGTACATCCCCAAACGTACCCTTAAGCAAAATCATCCCCAAAATCTACCCATACTTTGACAATAGATGAAATTCAAAGGCAAAAGGGAGGGGCTCAATGTAACCACCCAAGCACTTTCAAGCGACAGTTGTGGCGAATCACCAGAAATCGTCAGAAGCGGCACCCCGGTTTGTCTCCGAATTCATAGTGCAGAACCATTAACGACGCAAAATATCAGAAACCCATTAGCTACAAAATCCAAAAATTCTTCCACTGCAAATAAAAAATCAATCCAAACTCAAATCAAAATCACAAACCCGAATACAAACCAAACAAACACAAAAACAACAGAAAAAAAACACTTTGAACCCAGTCAAAGCAACACAATTTATAAAATCAGACTCCATAACACACCATAGGCAGAAAGCTTCAAGCTTCCACAAAGGTTATAAATGAAACACAGAACCCTGCAAAAACAAGACGAAAAAACAAAACCTTGGTAATGTCCACCCCAAGTGAGAAACACAACAAAATGGGTCATTACACAAAACTGAACGAAAAAGAAAACCCGAAACTTCGACCGTGCTAAAAGCTGCCATCTGGTCTATCACCAATCCAATGCTATTCGCTCCGATACAATAAAACCAAAAAAAGCCTTCACATAGACAAGGGAGACTCTCCGAAATTGCAACGAAAAAAGAAAAAGCACAGGGGGAAGAAAAGGCAAAAAAAAGCCGAAAAGCAAATAAATCCTTACAAAATCTCGCAACACGCACACGAAAAAAAAAAAACCGAAACCTTGGTCAACGAACCCAGCCAGCAAACCCCCAAATCGGCAGGGTCAAGCCAGGAAACCAAACCCGGTAAAAGGAACCCGACCCAAACGTGGCCTCACAGCGAACCAATAAAAATTCAAGTAGAACCAAGCCAGCCCGGTCTTCGAAGAAACTTCATGCACCATCCAAAGAAATCCCCAAAAAACATTGTGTTCAATCAACCAACCCTCACTTATCCCATACCGCTCACAATATTGGAGGAGCCACAATGGAAATAGGCAAAAAAAAAACCAACAGAATATGGAATAGTAACGGGGGAACATTCAGAGAGAGAACAAAAGGGGATGGGGAAAATTGAAAAAATTTATGGTAGAAACGAGAAAAGCATTGAGAAAAATTAATTGAAGTAAAAGCACAAAATCCAGCCCTTAAATTAGCTGACGAGACGTTGCCAGACAAAGGCTATAAAAGCCTTACGTAAAAAATCATCATCAATACGATGAAGCTTCAAGACCTTCGGTAATATGCCTCAGGTAAGGAAATCGCCAGCTTGAAATTTTCACAATAATGAGTCCAAAATACATAAGTCACCAAAATATAGATAAATTAAGTATACATTAGGAAACAAAAGTTAAGTAATGCGTCTTACACTAAATTAAGGTTCAAAAGTCGCACGGAAAAGGCTGAAGTAAGCGTAACTAAAGTACAATAATACAGAAGTATCAAAAAAAGGGAAAAAAAAAGAGGAAAAAAAAAAAAAAAAAGAAAATATATCAGAACGAACGGTTTTACAAAATCAAACAAACCGCAAAACAGTCAACACACTAAAACAACTATTCAGCTAAACTCAACGTGTGACGCGGGGAAAATCTAAAGAGGGTCTCGGCTTTCACTAAATCCAGCGATCGACACGTAAGTTCTCCGGTGTTCAATAACGTCTCAACCGAAAGTAGCCTCCCCTTCTGCTCACAAAAAAAAAGATCCACGCGTATGGATCATGAAACGCAATACTACAAGGGACTGGCGTACAGGGACAAGAATACAGGACAACACAGAAGAAAAACGAAAGGGATACGCTTATGTAATTTAAAAAATATCATACATCAACAAAATATAAAATCCAAACATTGCCATCCAAAACAAACAACATATAAGTTTCAACACTATAACATCCTAAAACAGAATCTATGTACAACTAGACAGACCGTCCGACTAATATGAAATCTGTGTAGCTACAAGAGGCGTTCTGCAAAGCACCCGAAAGTGAATGTGGGAGTAACATGGGATAAGGCACTCAACAGCTGCCAAACACTCGCAGGTTAGACCCAAAAAAATCCGAAAGAACCCAACAATGACGGAACTGGACCAAGTACATTGCCGGAGTGTTCCGCAAACAGCATGAGCCAATAAAAAACCCCCGGCAAAAGGCGAAAGGGGCCAAAAAGAAAAAAAGACGGCCCTCTCGCAGTGAGGACTCGTGGCATCACTAACATCAGGATGAACTGCCAGCATTATCATAACCAAAAAATCATGACTTTTACAAATCCAATATCAATGGCATTAGTCGTAGAAAAAATCCATCCTGGACCGCAATCGATTCAAAATACCAAAACCTGTAATACATTCCTCTCACAAAAATACTGTAAAGGGTCTCTTTAGAAAGTTTTCCACTTCATTATCAATTTCAGCATAGTTACCAGGACAAATAAAGAGTAACGAACGTATCAGCCCATCTTCAAACGAGACGAACGATAATAAAGAGTTTCAATGGATGGGTCTCAAGGAGACACGTTCAGAAACGAATAAACAAGAGGGTTACTAGTTTTGGAGATTTAACGAAAAATGAACCATCGAATAAAAAAAAATAGTGCAGTATGTGATTGAAAAAAAACGTATTTACCAACAGCGTAGTCAGTTAAAAAAGGACAACATGAACTGATTCTCTTTAGTTCAAAACCAAGACATTAAAAGAAATAAAGTCAAGTATGGAGGAAGAAAAAAGCCATAGACCGGATCCAATGCAAGAAGAATATTAAAGGTTAAGTACCATATTATAGATAGTTCACATACGAAACCAGTGGCCATTCCCAAGATAATGAACCGAACATAATTGTAACAAGAAGTGAAAATAACTGACAGTTGGAACGAACAACTAATTTATCACGATTGATATAAAAATAGGCACTAGTATGAGCGCTTGGGTTTAAAGAAAACACAAAAGCACTACTTATCCGAACGGCTAGTGTAAGACCGAGCGCTAACTAATTTTAAAGTACAAGGTATAAAATATATATTACTTTATTTCAGATATCCAGATACTACTAGGCTAGCCGAAACCGCTCAAACCAAGTATTTCACATAAGGACGGCTCGTTCTCGACCAGATTCTTCTCCAAATGAAAGAATTCCCGTTTAAAACAGTTTTACTAGAAAACCGAACGTAGAGGACCGTTCGTGACGAACGTTCAATTTATCTGTGAGAAAGTTCATAATTCAAATTTTCAACTATTTTTCAACTTAAGTTTTCAACATATCAGTTTGGTATCTTATAACTTCATATCAAATATCAATTTACATACTTTATAGAATCCACATTAATTTCATAATTCGAAGTGATACTCGATATTCCATTTATCATCTCACAATCATCATAAACAAATATCACGACCCGCATAAAGCATTCATAAAGTTCATTCACAAATCAAACCAAACGAACGTTCAATACAGGGTGAAACAACAAGCATAATAATATCAAATTAGAACATAAGATAAGCTTCCCAATAAAAAAATACAACCGGATATTTGATTGAGCAACTTGTCCCTAACGCAAGAATAAATGTGGGCTCGTCCCCAACTAACGTTTTTTTCTACCCTCAATGGTCACAAACTTAACTCTTCCAAATCAAATCTAACCACGAAGACAATCGAAGTACTGTAAAAAGACTACATCCCTAAAAAGTCAAATGTCAACGCATAAAACATTGGGTTGATTTGAAATGAAACCATCACGCAACGTAAACAGTACTACGAGAAGAAAACTATACACAGATGGGCTAATCAAAAAAACACGTGACCTTTGTTCGGATTTAAATAAATGAAGAAATCTGGTAGAAAGAGGACCAAATCACTAAAGACTCGGGATCTTTTACGATCTCTGAAGTTTTCCAGAGCACAAAAGCGAAACCCAGGGAAGAAAAAAAGGAAAAGAGGGAACAGGAAAGTGTAGTATCCTGTCGAGCGAAAGCTAGAGACGTTAAAAAAATTCTAAGAGAGAAGCTGGAGAAATGAAAAGTCCAGTTAAAAATTATTTAGAGAAAACAAGGGTGCATGCAGAGCTATGGGACCGACTTATTTCACAAAAAATCAGTTTTCTCCCAAGTTCCAACGGACCATGTCTCTGCTCTCTACAGGCCACCTGTGTCTTCACTGACTGCCATTCAGAATGTTCATTGTGACACTTGGCATAAGTCAGCGTCAAAATGAGTTAGTGAGATGGGCTTTTAAAAATGTATCTAGCATTAAGGTTTTAGTCATTAAATTATTGGACTTTAGAACAGTGGTGATTTCAGCTCCAAGTGTTAAATTTCCAAGTCTTACAGTATAATAGGAAGAGGAAATTGATGTTTCATCCACTTATCCTTTACGTTAGAGGAACACATAGTGAACATACTTGCATTGGTTATAGGGTAGGGAGGGGGGGAAAAGAAGAGAGGGACCATATCTAGGTCTCTGTTGGATTACTAATGAGACATACAAATACCTGATTTTAAATGTTCATATTCACCCAAAATACATGCAAAAAAAAACAATTATGCTATCTATCTATTTACTATCTATAAAGTGAGTGGCCATAAAATGAGAATTGCGAAATGGAGACCCTTTCTCTGCTGTGTTGTTCAAACCATCTTTGCAACATCAGAACTTCAACCGTAAATTTAATCACAAAATATGGCAGCATCAGGGCTTTTCTCTTGCTCATTGAAGTACAACAAACTTCACAGAACTAAGGTTAAGCTCTCGGCTAAAGAAAATTGGCACAAACAGAGGAAGGTACGCTAAACATCTTAACACCTTCGATACTATTCTTTCAGTAATAAATGAGCAAAAATATTGTAAAAAAGGGAGAAATGGGGTCTTCTCTAGTATGATAAAAGTTAACTTGGAATTGAAAAATATAATTATTGCAGACATTTTCGGTGAAAGGACAACTAGTATCAAAAATGCCCGTAGTATTATGACATAAAGAAAGAAATGATGACAATTCCTTGTGTTTGTACTTGAACTTTGATTAAAGTACAAAACAAAGGGTAATTTACTTTTTTGCAGAAAAATGTAGTTCATCGAGATTGTCAAACGATTATTTGTTATGTTGCCCGCTTGTGTTTTTTGTTTGATGTGATCAAAGCAGAAACATCTGAAGAAGGTTTATTGAAATAGAAGTTGAAATGCTTGTAAATTGCAATCATCTTGGTAGATTTAAGTTTACTTCATCATACCCATTTAAACTCCTGAGGTTGAAGTGAATTTAAGCTATTTGAAAGAATGACAATCTCATCTTTGTCTTCTACTGCAATGAATTTCTTATAATTTTTTACCTGATTATTACTAGCTTCCATGACTGGTTTTGCAAATGGTCTTGGATTCCATTGTTTATTTGGGTTTATTTATACTTTTTGTGATATTTAGAGCAGTCCACTAGCTCTGGCTCAAGCATTCGAGACCAGAGACAAGCTCATGGCTTCGCATCCAGAGCTAGCAGAAGAAGGAGCCATTCAGATTGTAATAATAAAAACAACTGGTGATAAAATACTGTCACAACCACTTGCAGACATCGGTGGGAAGGGCCTTTTCACAAAAGAAATAGATGAGGCACTCATAAATGGTGACATTGACATTGCTGTTCATTCAATGAAAGATGTTCCTACTTACTTACCTGATAAAACAATTCTACCATGTAACCTTCCACGTGAGGATGTTAGAGATGCATTTATATCCTTGAGTGCAGCTTCACTGGCTGACCTACCCTCTGGAAGTATTGTTGGTACTGCTTCACTCAGACGGAAGTCACAAATACTCCACAGATATCCTTCTCTGAATGTGAGTTTGTATCATTATTATTGTCATGATCTTTCCACTATATAATACTTCATCAATGTTAAACTCAGTTCTCTTCTTGACATTATCTTTTATTTTTCTCATAATTATCCTAGAAGCCTGGATATAATTATGACTTCTAATGCCTTTTCCTAGAGAGAAAATAGGTACAGTTAGGGTTATGCTAAACCAAAGAACAAAGTTAGGGTTTAGGACTGTTCTCGTTCAAAGTTAGGGTGACTTCAAGCTAGAGAGTTCAAGTGTCCGGGCCTTTGGACTATCTTCCTTTTTATAGTCAGTAAGGTAGCAGATTGAATAAACAACCTATATCTCTATGGATTTGTTAAGATATAAAATGCTGGAAAATGGATTTAAGAATTTTATCTAGAGATATAAGCATTTTATCTTTTCCTGTAATATTAAGATATGAGTCCAACCATATAAGAGATTGACACCACTCTCTACCTAAAACTTTAAAGCAATGTGTTTTTTATTTTTATAATGTGCTCTTCTTTCTCATTTCTATCCAATATAGAACTTAGACTCATACTTGGATTCCTAACAAAAATCTATTTAGATTATCTATTTCCATTAATCAGCCTAAAACCGATTTTAATAGGTCTTTGTCCAAATTCTGAACCAAAGGGCTTCATCCCTGTTTTGTGGTGATTGTTCATTATCATTGCTATTTTCCTGTGTCCTGAGAGATAGCTTTTAGATGTGGAGAATTTGTTTGTTGACTTAAGTACGTTATATGTTTGAGATTGATAGAGTATAGGCTATTCTAGTCTTCTTGTTGTAAGCACTTAGTCTACCCTCACAGTTATAGGTGCCTTTGTCAGTCAGCATTTGTTGTACCTGACCAGTACTTGCAAAAGAGCTAATGTTTCTGTATAAATACCACATGTACTTCAAAAAAATTAATGCAACATCACTTTCAGTTTATAGAAACTCTCTTTTCTTATAAGTTAGTTCTATACTAGTTTTTCTCAAAGGTCAGCAATGGGAGGCATCCATATTTTTATCTGGGGTAGGGGTGGCTGGTATTTTTATTACAACCAATTGTTATTTAGACAAATTGCTGTCAATTGGGGATTCTGTATGCTATTTATGCTTAAAATTAATCTCTTATTTTTAGAGTGTTACAGTTTTTAAACATACTATCCCATTTTGTTCTATTCTTAAAGTACACCAAACGCAGAAGCTCACGTTCTTCCATCCTCTTTTAATATGTTTACCAAATGTTATCAATGGATTTATGAAGACATGAATCAGGGACTGGCATTTATTCATATCAGTAGTCTTTTATCATATGTAGCTTCAATCATGGTAAAATAATATTTACTACAATCATATACGAATATTTGATTAACCACTTGGTTAGTATACCTTTCTTACCTTCAGCGGCATGGTAGGAGCAACAAGAGTAAAGCAATAGCCAACGTGAATGTTTGATTCAGAAGACATTAGTTACTCTAAGATAATGAACATCATCTATGTCTATCTCAGTTCTTAGAGTGAGACTTATATATCTGTTGCGCAACTTCACTTAATGTCAGTTAGTTTTAAGATTAAATATGACATGGTATTCAACGGAGAATATTGGAAAGTCCCATATCGCCTGCTTTGCTTGGAGTGAGATATATACGTCTAATGGGAAACTTCCCTTAATACAATTTGGTTTTAAGATGAAGTTTGATATCTTTGTGTTCTTATTATCAGTCTTGCATCATATATGATCTCCTTCTGATTGATTGTTGTTGTGTTTCCTCAACATTTCCTTTTTCTGTCTTGTGCATTTAATTGTTCTTCAGGCACTTAATTAGTGACAATTTAGTTTTCTAGACCACTGAATGATTCTTAATGATTTCTACTTAACCTGTAATTTTAATCTCAGGTGGAGGAAAATTTCCGAGGCAATGTCCAAACAAGACTGAGAAAACTCAGTGAGGGTGTTGTCCAAGCTACCCTATTAGCATTAGCTGGTCTCAAACGATTAAACATGACAGAAAATGTGACTTCAATCCTATCAATTGATGATATGCTTCCAGCTGTTGCACAAGGTGCAATTGGAATAGCCTGTAGAAATAATGATGATAAAATGGTGAGTATTTAACTAAGTACATCATTTACATGATATTGCCACTTCAAACCGTTACAAATTAGTTAATATTAAATTATATTTTGTAAGACATATATGCCTAAAGATGTAAAAGTGTGGTTTCAAACTTGTGAGCAACCCGGTTCACCGGACTCAAGCCGATTTGAATTGGAAAAAAATAAGTTTTTTAAATGAGTCAAAATGAACACGAATTACTTAACCTACGGGTTAAATGATTTTGAATCAGGTTGAAAGTGTTATAAAAGATGAGTTTAGTCAATATACTTTGATTGTACTATGATAAATATATAAAATAAATTAGAAGAACAAAACATTTTTAAGTGAGTCAATCCACCTAATAAAAACCAACTTTTGGTGGGTTGAGTCAGGTTATAAAATTTTTGACTTACCAAAAAGAGAACTAGATTGAACTGATTCATATTTAACTCCATCTATGATGAACCAACAAGTGAGCAAGAGTGGACATCCCTACTTCTCAGTACATGTATGGTTTTTTTGCTGTTGTAAATTGTATTGTACGGTTAGCAAAGGAACTACCAGGCCGACCGACCACCCAGGCTGACCCAGGCCAACCGACCACCCAGGCTGACCACCAGACCGAGTGGCTGACCACTCAGGCCAACCACCTAGGCCGACCGACCACCTAGGGTGACCACTAGGTCGACCACCCAAGCTGACCACCCAGGTCGACCACATGGTTAGATTATAAACAATAATAACTCATTAAAATCCTAATGCAGATTAAGTTATGATTGGGCCGTCATTAGACCAGTGAAAGGTAAAATCCCATTACAACTAGTATAAATAAAGATCTCATGTATGACTTTAGAGGATTATGCGCATTATATGCATCACTTTGTTGTGATAACCGGTCGGTTATATTACTGACTTGAATGTCGGAGTGTCTTTGACAAGTACTCTTCCGCACAACTTCGACAAGAAGAAGGGAGAGCGAACGTAACTTGGAGGATATGGAGGACCACTAGAGAGCCCATCCGGTCTATAAGACAACTTGGAGTGCTTTGAGTAAGGGACTTCAACTCATACCCGAAACATAAATCAAGTGAAAAGCTATGTTGGGGATAAAAACTTGTGTTTTCATCTAAGAGAACAAACTTGAAGATATAATAGATGGTATACTTGGGGATGTAGATGTGTCTGTAATTGTCTATTAGGTCAAAATAGCTATTCTACCTTTAAAATTATTTTAGTTTCTATATGGTTGGTTGATTTCTGCAGGCAGAATACCTTGCTTCACTGAATCATGCAGAAACAAAACTAGCAGTTTCCTGTGAAAGATCCTTCCTTGAAACATTAGAAGGGTCTTGCCGCACTCCTATTGCAGGCTATGCTAGCAGAAACGTGGATGGAAATTGCTTGTTTAGAGGATTAGTTGCTTCCCCTGATGGAACCAGTGGTATGAGTATTGAGACTTCTGGTTTAGTTTCTAAAGGTTCAGAAGTTACTACTACTCTTTAAGCTTGTTTGTAAATCCATTTGTGCAGTGCTTGAAACTTCCAGAGTTGGTCCATATGTTGCTGAAGATATGATTCAGATGGGTAAAGATGCTGGGGAGGAGTTTCTTTCTCGTGCTGGACCTGGCTTTTTCAGTAGCTAGCACTTGATGATGAAACATAGCTACAATGGAGCTTGCAGACTCAGTTTTTTAAGTTTATCACATTCCAACTATGAGAGTTGGAAAAGTGAACCACACATCATGGTCAAATTTTTGTAGTGTTTTAAGTTCACTATTTCCACTAGTGTTGTCTTTTCCTCATGGAAATCTTGAAATGGAAATATAAGTTATATCTATCATTTTATTTTAGTTCGTAGAAGATTTTTTTTTAATTCTTATGAAAGAAATCTATTTTCTTGGGAAATACCATATCAATCTTTAGTTAAAAGTAATCTTACTGAAATTAAACAAGATTTATATGGATAAAGTTATTTTTAAAAACATTTAACAATTTTTTATTCAAAATTTAATTTAAAAACTACTAACCCAAATTATTGATTTGTAAGAAGAAAAAAACAATTAAAGGTGTGTCTAGATTTCGGGTGAAATAATCAAACTAATTTTAATTTTCTGTCAAATAATTTGTGCCTATATCTGACACTTTTTTCGGAAATAATTAAAATCTAAATTAATCTCAAATTCCAATTAACTTAAAAATTAAAATAATGTTCTTTCTATGCTGAGTTCAACTCAACTTAAAAACAAAAATTTAAAACACACTAATTCTGTTTATTATCCCCATAGAATAAATTTATCTAATAAAATTATCTTTATTAATGAAAATGGTAAACTGTATTGTACATTTATCAATATATTTATTCATTGAATTATTCTTTAAATAAAATTAATATCACTATTTTATAATGATCTTTGATATTATAAAGACTGATCTAAATGTAAATTACAATATCTACAATGAATGAAAACGTTTTCAATATTTTTTCTCAATATTTTAATAAGATCAACAGTAATTTTTCATATCAATAGTTAAAAATAACATGTATGAGAATATAATTTAGTTATTATAAATGTTTCGGTTGAATTGGTCTTAGGGTCGGTCATTCTTCCTTGTTCTGTCCTCTTTTGATCTTTAATCCTCTCCGAGAATGCGATCCACTACAATGGATTGTTGACATGCAGAAGACACTCCAACGTTCAAGTCAGATATGTTTGATAAAGATGTCTATATTTTATTAGGATAGAAAAAGGTTATTGTACCTGGACATTCGTTGTCTACTTATAAGGGTTGTGACAGCCACGTCCATTGATTAATCATTAGTGTAATATATTTTAGGTAATCAAACCCAATAATTAATCATTAATGTTGTATATTTGTAGAGC